CTGCGTCCTCGTCGCAAAGCACAAGCCCTCTTCGTTCGCCGCCGAATGTAATTAATGCCGTTCTTGAAGGTGTACCCGTACTTGCCCTTATTGATACTGGTGCCGCAATTTCTGTCATCGCCGAAAAAGTTTGCCGTTCAATTCGAAAAGTGACAACGCCTTACTTGGGTTCATGTCTTCATACTGCCACTGCACAGCCTGTGCAGCCTGTGGCCGCGTGTACTGCCAGACTTGTAATTCAAGGAGTGCCCTACACAGTCCAGTTCGTAGTACTCCCGCACTGTTCTCATGACATCATTTTAGGTTGGGATTTTCTCTCCCATCACCAAGCCGTCATTGATTGCGCCCGTGCCGAAGTCGCCTTTTGTCCCCTTGGTGATGCGCTACCAGGGCACGATCGCCCTTTTGACGCGAAGTTGGTCATTAGTGACGACACCCGAATCCCTCCACGCGCTACTGTCTTCGCACCTGTGTCGTGTTCCACCGTCGTCGACGCTACCGCATTCTTCACGCCTTCCGCTGCTTTCGTTCATCGCCACCTATCACCGCTCCCAACCGCTCTCGTTACTCTTCAAGCTGGTGCGACCAACGTGCCTGTGAAGAATCCGTTCCCATTCACGATTACGCTACTTCGAGGCGAATGTATTGGTTCGATAGAATCATTCGAAACCATCGCTACACTTGACGTTCCTGATGAATCATCAGAAGTCAGCGCCCTCTCCTGTAGTTCAGTGAATGACCCTTCCACTACCGACATTTTCAACCGTGTCATCGACGAAGGCCTGAACCCACAACAGAGGTGTGAGCTTTTGAGCCTCCTTGACAAGTTTCGACCATCTTTTGACAGTCACAGCGCTACTCTAGGTCGCACATCTACCGTGTGCCACCAGATCGACACAGGTAATCACCCACCACTACGGCAGCGACCATACCGTGTTTCGCCAACTGAACGCCGTATCATCGATGAACAAGTAGGTGACATGCTAAAGCGAGGCGTCGTTCAACTGTCAAACAGTCCTTGGGCATCGCCGGTTGTTTTAGTTAAAAAGAAGGATGGCAAGATACGCTTTTGCGTAGATTATCGTCGCCTAAACAAAATAACACGAAAGGATGTTTATCCTTTGCCTCGAATTGATGACGCCCTCGACTCTTTACAAGGCGCAGAGTTCTTTTCCTCCCTTGATCTACGCTCTGGGTACTGGCAAGTGCCCATGAATCCGGATGATAGGCCAAAAACTGCATTTGTTACACCAGACGGCTTATACGAATTTAACGTGATGCCATTCGGGCTATGCAATGCGCCGGCAACATTTGAGCGCATGATGGACACTATCCTACGAGGCCTCAAATGGAACATGTGTTTGTGCTACTTAGACGATGTAGTAGTATTCTCGCCCGATTTTCCCACGCACCTTCGTCGCTTGGAACAGGTTCTACGCTGCCTCTCTGCAGCGGGCCTCCAACTCAACTTGAAGAAGTGTCACTTTGGAGCGCGCAAGCTGACCATTCTCGGACACGTCGTGTCAAAGGATGGCGTTCTTCCAGACCCCGCTAAGCTACGTGCTGTTCGCGAGTTCCCGAGGCCCGCGTCTCTCAAGCAGCTGCGTAGTTTCATTGGGCTTTGCTCATACTTCCGCCGCTTCGTCCGAGATTTCGCCTCGATCATGGCGCCTCTGACAGACCTACTTCAGGGAGACCACAATCTATCTGCGTGGTCTCCAGCTTGCGACAGTGCCTTTGTGAAGCTCCGTGAACTGCTTACAACACCACCCATACTGCGTCATTTCGATTCAAGCGCTCCCACAGAAATCCACACAGATGCTAGCGGTGTCAATCTTGGCGCTGTACTCGCCCAACGAAAGCCGGGTTACCAAGAATATGTTGTTGCGTACGCGAGCCGCACTCTTACAAGAACAGAAGCAAATTATTCGGTAACTGAGAAAGAATGCCTAGCGATTATCTGGGCCATTACAAAATTTCGGCCTTATCTGTACGGCCGCCCTTTCGATGTTGTTACCGACCACCACGCGCTCTGCTGGTTATCCTCCCTCAAAGATCCCTCAGGACGCTTGGCACGATGGGCTTTACGGCTCCAAGAGTACGACATCCGCGTCATTTATCGCTCAGGCAAGAAGCACGCCGATGCCGACGCTCTTTCGCGTTCGCCTGTTTCTACTGATATTGCGAGTGTCTCCATCCAAGACAACTTCCTTCCACTATCAGGACCCATCAACATGGCTGCGGAGCAGCGCAAAGATTCGTGGATTGCGTCTCTGATGGATTACCTATCTGAAACACTCGCCCACCCGCCATCTCGAGCGCTACACCGACAAGCCTCTCACTTCGCCATCCGTGATGGAATACTTTATCGCCGCAACTACCACCCTGACGGTCGCAAATGGCTACTCGTCATACCCAGGCATCTCCGCGCCAGCATATGTGCTGCTTTCCATGCCGATCCGCAGTGTGCGCACGCCGGTTTGTTTAAAACCTACGCCAGGCTACGTTTTCGGTTTTATTGGCGCGGCATGTACACATTCGTTCAAAAGTACATTCGATCTTGCACAGAGTGCCAACGCCGCAAGCACGATCCTAGTTGTCCTACTGCACCAATGCAGCCGTTACCGTGCCCAGTGCGACCATTCGACCGGGTTGGAATAGACCTTTATGGTCCTCTACCATATACATCAGCTGGGAATCGCTGGATTATTGTAGCGATCGACCATCTCACGAGATATGCAGAAACGGCCGCTCTACCAGCCGCGACGGCACATGACGTTGCGTCTTTCCTGCTGCAACGTTTTGTTCTGCGTCATGGCGCTCCACGGGAACTTACTTTTGAGCGACCGAGGCCGCGTCTTTCTCGCGGTTGTTATTCGAGAACTTCTTGCAGAATGCCATGTAATTCACCGCTGTACTACCGCATATCGCCCACAAACAAATGGCTTGACCGAGCGTTTCAACCGTACTCTTGGCGACATGCTTTCTATGTATGTCGCCTCCGACCACACCAACTGGGATCTTATCCTTCCTTACGTAACGTACGCTTACAACACGGCACCTCAAGCGACGACAGGCTTTTCTCCATTATTTTTACTTTATGGTCGAGAACCATCATCTCCAATTGACACCATTCTCCCCTACCGACCCGACTCATCCGAAGGCACACCACTTTCCGAAGCCGCGCGGTATGCGGAAGAATGTCGGCAATTAGCTCGCACCCTTACAACACAAGAACAAGGGCTACAGAAATTTCGTCACGACGATGGACGGTCCAACTACCAATTTTCGCCCAACTCTCTTGTTTGGCTGTGGGTGCCCCCCAGTGCTGCTCCTGGTACCTCTACAAAGTTTGTCAGCAGGTACCATGGACCTTATCGCGTCATAGAACAAACTTCCGCTGTTAACTACCTCATCGAACCCCTCACGGCCACTGTGGACCTGCGTCGCCGAGGCCGCGAAATCGTACATGCGAATCGCCTCAAACCATATCACGAACCACTTGTCCTCACGACACCTTAGAACACTTACTTGGCACCATCTTCAGCGAGGGGGGAATAAGTAATGATGATTGTAGTGGGTCATGCAAATCTCGGCACACACATTGTCAGTGCTAAGCAAGAGACGCTCGGCCCGGACTGTCGCTGATTTTGATAGCTAGGCCTACGCTCCTACCTGGTCTCGGATAACAGTTTTGACTGTCTCCGTTCTATATTATAGTGGATATAAAAAACGAGCGTAAACATCTTGAAAGGACCGGGGTTCAGTCCGTGTTTGCGGGGACGTCACAACATGTTTGTTATAATTTCAATATGCATGTACCATAGAGGTGCAATAAAAATGAGTCAATTTTGAAAATTTCAATTTTAGAGTAAGAAAATTTCGACACTGCGTGCTGCTTTTAGTCCTTGAAAAACCTGTGACAGGTCTTGAAAAGTCCTTGAATATACTTGAACTTTCGCTTTGTAAACATGTACAAACCCTGCATTCGTCTCTTATATCAATGCCTTTTATAAAGAGGCTCGACTGTATTATAATGGCTCTTAGTAACATACTTAAAAGGCCTTGCAACACTTTTTGAGCACGGTCAGAAAATTCTGCCGATTGTGGTCAAGGCTCCTGGAAATGTGCGAGTCAAACTTACAGCTCAGCACGCAACCTGAAATTTACCAATAATTTTCAGTCTGCCAGTAATCGCTCATTCTTCTCTTGACAAATGATACCTTAACTCAAAATGGCCATGTCATAAATTTAGGGTTTACGGCCATCAGCTGATTTGAGCATTGTGAGCTTCAGAATTCACACGGCTGCTGGGGATCTTGTGATGAGCCCGAGCTGCACTCTATAACGCTAGAATTACACACAATATAGAATTACAACAGTATGCTTATGATCACAATTAAAGTAAGCCGTGTATTAAAGAAAGGTGCTCAAGGTCATGACACCCACTGACTGGATGTAGCTTCTCGCCTCGTTATCATCACCATCTGCATTGCTTTTAGCACACACGCTGTATACGGAAGAAAAGAAAAAAAAACACACACAAGGCATACAATGAATTTCGGTAACCCTGCTCACACTTGACAGTATCTAAATATTCCTGATGCATTCAATTCGAGAGGCAATAAAGTATTACGATTCTATGATTACTCAAAAAAGTGTTGCAGGACTCTCTTTAGCTGTCCCTGGAATACCTATAGTAACACTGACAGCGCAGGTTTGAACAATCACCTCATCTTTAACCATGCTTCACTGTGCTTTCTCACCCTCGGCGCCAATTATATAACTATAAAAGAGTACCAGCCATCTGCTTTGCACAATGCAAGGTCTGCACATCTTCGCCTATACTAGTGACTCCTGTTTGCTTTGCAAAACGGGTTTCTGTCTTACCATTCTATTTGATCTATCATATGACACCACTTTCATGGACTTCACAATGTGAAAAATGGTTTTAGTTGCGGTATTCTGGTTCTCTTGCATAAAAAAATCTATCACTGCAGGTGTACTGCCCTTCTTAGTAGCCCTGACGTCAAGGTGCGGCAATACAGCAGCATGGTTCTGTACAACTGCCTTTCGCAAGCACACGTGGAGAATCTCTTATTATCGGCTGGTTCTGTGCGCATGATAGAGAGCCTTGCAGACATGCTGGCCAACACAGAGTCTGAATGGAGGTGGGTTCTTTGCTGAAGTGATACCATCAAAACTTTTCCTTTATTCAACCTTATTCATATGGCTTTAATGTTGATCATGTGCGAGAGAGTAGTGAGGGCTCAAATTTTGTGAACACCTGGGAATGCATACCGCCTTTTCTCATGTATAGCCCGCCTCTGTATATAACCTGTACCTCTGTTGACAAACTGTGGAAAAATTATTATAAAAACAATGTTGCAGTGTATTGCTGGGGAACTCTTCCTTGCATCACTATAAAGCAGTGCCAGGAATCCAACCTAGACATCTAAGTTGGCGCATTGCTCATACTCCTGTATTAGCTCCAAATTTTCCATATGTTCGGTGCAGATGGTGTGTGAAAAACGCTCTGCAATATTGGTCCTCCAAATAATTTGTGAGGCTGGGGTTTTTATCTAGTGTATCTCATTTTTTTGAGCTAAGAATTCTACCAAAAACTTCTCATCAGCTGTACTTTATTTGCTTTAATTATCAGACATATTTATTGACATGAGTTAAAGACACTTGTGAGTTGACTGTACAGTTTTAACAGAAAAATAATGGCTCAGGCAACTGGATGTCGGAGCAGCAAGGTAGCGTTACGCAGCAGTTTTTCTCGAGTACTACTATATAGAAAGTGCCAAGCACATTATATTTTTCAAATCAGGGGTGGCGTATGCAAAGCTCTCCAAGAAACAGCCTTTTCGAAGTATATGCAATAAATGTGTGGTCGCTCGTAACTCCAGTGAAAAAACAAAAAAATTGTGTACACTGCCTCATCTGCGATAAGCAATGAACAACCGTTCGGATGGCTCATCAAAAAGATGGGCTGCTTTCTACTAGTTTGGCAGCCCGAGCTGCTTGGGAAAATGGAATATGCTTGACAATCTCGCTATGTGAACAACAGCGCCGCGTGTCGCAATTATGCGACTACAGCCACCAGTCACATGAGGAAATATTTTTGTAGCCACTGTACATACCATCTCTTTTGTTTCAGCCTTTTCATTCTGGAGCGGCTACTTCAGCACGACGGCTTGGTGGCAGTCTTCCAAAAGCTGTCTGCTCGTTGCAGGTATGTCGCCAAGCTGAAACGATATACTGAAGAAAGTTTCTTGTGAATAAGTAATGGTCATGAACTATTTTATTTGGGGGCAGTGCTGTAGTAAGCATATCATTCAAACAATTTAGCTAGAATGCTTTTATATGTTACATTTGAGCATAGCGTGTCTTTCTTTACAAAACCTGCTGCCTCTGCAAGGACAGTGAAAAATATCAAATAGATTTGTTGTATAGGTACTGGATAGAGCTCTCATGTTTTGTAACAATTGCATTTATGTGCTGTTTATTTCTTTGTCGCTAGAAACTCGCACAAACTTACATCCGTGCTATTACCAAGGTAAATCACGGAATTTCTGACGTCTATATCATGGCGTCGATACTCGGCGGTGGCAGCTTGTTTCTTTCCACCACTTTGTGTTGCTTCGTATCATAACTTTCACGCCTCATGAAAAACAACATATAACATTCTCAATGCTTTCCAATGTTGTCGCTTCAAAGGAAGGAGACCACGTTTTCTAGTTTTCATGCTTTGCTTGAATGTTCCTTAAGCCATGTTGCTTATATTTATTCTCATTAAAGGCATCGTGCAAGCCTTAAAATCATGGCTTAGATATGAATGTCCAATGAGTGGCTTTATTTATCTTTGTAGTCTGTGCTCGTGTTCGCCCCTCATAACCCACTGCACAGAATCGAAGAATATCAGAGTCAATCTCAGACTATCCTCTCAGTTGTGTCTGAAGTAATTTCTAACTACAAAGTATTAAACTCTCATTCTGAGCGAGAAACCTCAGAAAACCATATGCGAGTTGTCTCACCATAACATCAGTGACCCCTAATGTAAAAATAAAGGAAAATGATGAAATAAGCCAACAACATCATAATCATAACGCATACTAGGTGACCGAGTGAATGAAAATAATTTTAAAAGCAGAAATACGACCCATGAATTGTAGCGCAGAAGCACAGCGGTGTAATCATGATGCCACTTCACGTTGCTAAAAATGAGTTTTCTATGTGCACGTTAGTGTGTTGGAATGTGTGATGCATTTAAAAACATATAAAACATTTGTGTGCCCTGTTTTAGAATATGCTTGTGCTGCCTGGAGCCCCCACCAAAAGGATTTAATAGATAAACTGGAACGAATTCAGAGACTTTCCGCGCGATTTATATGTTCGAAGTATAAAAGGACTAATTCGGTTACCGAGATGTTAAAACTAAGTGGTTTGGAATCTCTAGAAATTAGACGACAAAAGCAGCGCCTAAAAGTATTTTTTCAGATATTGCATGGTCAAATAAAAATAGATAGAACAATTTACGTACACCCCCCGCATAAGCTCAGCAGCCGGATCAATCATGACGCGGCAGTTCTCCCCTTCGGTGCTCGCACGGACGTCTTTCGCAAATCTTTTTTCCCTGATGTTATAGAAGCGTGGAACAAATTGCCGCGACATATTGTTGAAAATTCTGACGTTAAAAAATTTGAATGTGCTCTTGATGTTTACTTTGCCGAGCAATGAATATGCTATTGTGTTATTGTTCAAAGTTGCTGAAAATATCAATGTCTGTATTTACTTTCCATATCCTATGCTTCCCTCCCTGTAATGACCCTCAAGTGAGGGTTGACAGTATAAATAAATAAAAAAAAATAAAAAATTTGTCATAGGCACCACTGTCTCGTAACCGTGTCTACATCTCATGCTGTAGCTAGGTACACAATGCTTCACTTCCGGATAGTGGGGCAGATAAGTGGCATACTATCATAATTCGAAGTTATGATTTGGTCTTTCACATTACTTCACGAATGAAGGGCCAATAATTATGGTTTTTTTCTAAATACCAATTAACTAGGCATGGGTCAATCTATGGGTGTCTCGAATGTTTGATCAAATATTACAGTATTAGGATTCGCTTCAAAAAGAATTTCGAAATTTCAAAATTCTGCAGCATTCGAAGTGAATGAATAAGTGTATATGTTACTGCATATAAGTTATAACCCTGTTGAAAAGGTGGTTTTATTGCAACATAGAGCAACTATGGCGGAAAACCACCTAGTCTGGTTAAAATCTGAACTACCAAAAAGCCACGCTTTATATAAAAGGATAAATCTACATTTTACTTCTCCCACAATTACTGTTATTTCTTTTTTAAGTTTAAATATGTGTTATACGTCTTATAAGTGTTAAATGTGGCCAAATTTAAAACCACATATTTTACGGCTTAGGGCTTACAACCTAACACCTATTCAAATCCTGCTCCTGCTATTTAATATTGCTTCCGCTTTGCTTTGAACCGAAAAGTGGCATTTGCACAAACCTACTTCTTAAAAATATATTGGGCAAGCAAGACCGGTCATGACAAAATGCTTTTTTTTTTCTTTTATATACTATATACTGTGTGAACCATTCTATTTGAAATTCAACCACATCACCCTTTGCTTCAAATACGCTTCAAGCCCAAAATTTACTACTCACCCATCTTTCCTGTGCAAACCGGCTGGTGAAAGCAGGTAGTTCAAAAGGATGATTAAAATGTGGCTCTACAGTTACTGTGACAAAGTAAGTAAGGGAGGACTCATGTTATGATGTAGACACGAAAAGTCCTTGTTTTGCTCTAGCAACTATAGCACAGTATTTTAATAATGCAAAATTAACTAGTCAAGTACTTCACTTTGCTCAGCAAGGACCTTGTAGAAAAATCTCTCTGCAGCCTTTATTGGGGCACTTCGCAGTACCATCTCAACATGGCTTCTATACAACAGTCCAAAACTAGTGATGCCTCCGCCCCACTAGCCTTCTTCTTCACCCTCCTGTCCGCAACGCACATGATTTCTGCAAACCAAACTTATTCTAACCTAAGTTTTGAGGCAGCAGTTACTTTATCTTTCAGTGATGTGCATTGTGAATCCTTTCAGGTGTGTACTGTTGGACATTGCTGCCGACAACCTTACGAAGGCACGAGGAGAAGATGCACCGCTTCCACTCTCCCTACCTTTTTTAGAGCATGCCCAAAGTCAGATGTTGGAGCGAGTGTGGACCATGACAAAATGCTTGGAAGCAGCAGCTGCCGGTGACCCGGTAATCAATCAGTACATACTTTGAAAACAGTTAGTGCTACTCTGTGGCCTGGCATGCACTGCCCGTACACTGTCCGTCATGTCACTGTCATGACATCAGCATTCGTCATGATATATTATATAGAAAGGTTTCAGTGTGAATGATATCTTATTGCAGATTTTTCTTCAAAATATAAGACACAATCAAGATCATTGGCTAGGGCCTTCAGAGTGTCATCAGTGAGAAACTGTTATTTCTGTCACTCTATAATTTCAAACATTTAGATTTAAGATGTAGTCTGCAAAAGACTGCACCTAAATCTTTTAGTGTTTAGATCCTTTCATAACAATTTGCATCAGTGAGAAAATCCCGTGTACCATTTGAACTTCGTAGGAACTGCAACAACTGTTATGGGAGTCAATTGTGTAACTTCTAAGAAAGAAAAAAAATGAACATTGTAGGTGGTTGTATAAAACACACGCTTCATGGAAGGTACCTTAGTTCTTGCGCTGGGAGTCTTTAGCAGCAGTCATGTTATATACTCTGTATATTTGATTTCTGTCATAAAAGCAACACGGAATAAGATCCAGCACGCCTAAGAAGATGTATATAAAGGAAAGCTTTCATCAAGCAGTTGGTTGAGTACTACGCCAAGGTTACTAGAATAAACTCAGTTTCAAAGCTGCGCCGGAGAGGTTGGCCGCGTGGTGGTCATGAGAACTAGAGGCGCTGTGTGCCCCCACGGCAGGCTCATGTTTTGATCGGCGGCAGCGGCAGCGTGTGAGCAGTTACCACGAATAGTGCACTGTGTTCGCACGTCACTTCTGAAACTGTTTTCGTCACCGCATAGGTTCTTGTATGAAAACGTGTTTGTCATGTATGAAACATAGCGAGGAGGGTAGGATTTATCTACGGTGCAGTACACCGACTTGCGATGCGCAGGGCTCCAAGAGTGGCAACGGCAATGGCGACTTTGCTTCACACATTTTTAATTACTTGTTTATTAATTTATCTATTTATTTTCTTTCTTTATAAACATGGTTACACAGCGGCAGGGGCCAACTAAAACCTGCTATAAGTAGCTTGAAAAGCTCATACAAGGTGCATTAGAGAAGTAATGAGACTGAGTTTGTACTAACCGAAGTATTCAGTTTTTCCAAACAGCAATATTAGCCACTTCAAAGAAGTTTCCTTGGGCACTTGGGCAGCTATTGACCAGGGCAGTTGTTCTCACTCTTGATAGCAGTGCTGGAAGTCTTCAACTGCTACGGCTCTTAACTGGTTAGTCAGAGTCTTCTGAATGCTCTCCAGAGTTCCGAGATGACGTCCTTTTAGGACTTGTTTCAGTTTAAGTGAAGGGGAACATATGCAAGGACTCAAATCAGGTGAGTAGGGGGATGAACAGCAACAATAGTGCATTTTGAGGTCAAAAATTCACTTGACAGAAAAGGTCGTACGACACGGTGCAATCTCATGATGAAGCATCCACCAGTCTAAGATGTCCCCCTGAGCGAGGTTCACTTTAACCTTTTCTAGGCCTTCCAAAAATGACTTCTGCCGGTGTAAAATTTGTGCTCTTAATAAACAATGTTTCCCATGCGCTTGTTTCAACTTTTCAAAAGTAATAGTTAAGATTCAACAAGTTCAATTCACAACTTCATGGTACAATGCTGCTCTAAATTCCAATAATCCATTTCTGTAAAACACAACAAAAACATAACTTGCGCCGCTGTCACAACTACTGTGTTGGCTGTACAGAGTTGTAATTCGTACTGAAGAAACGGACGGGTAAACAAAGTGGTAAAGCACAAATCCTTAGACACAATGTTGCCAGATTGTCGACAGTGTTGCCAATCCCATCATTTTTCCAGCACACCCCGTATATATGGCCCCCGGTCTTTTTCGCGCTTTGGTTACAGGCTAGTGGACGAACGACCGTGAAAAAATTTTCTGCCTGGCCTTGCACGTTACCCAAGAGCTCGTATAGACGTGCAAGTAAAAATGATTCATTTCACTCTATTCTATTATTATTATTATTATTATTATTATTATTATTATTATTATTATTATTATTATTATTATTATTACATGCAATAGCAATCGGCGGATAGGGTGCAGATGAGCCCGTTGAATATTATATCAATTGCGTGCCAACAATTACAGAACTTGGAGGACACTTGAGCTTCGCCGGTAGCATGATCAAGCGCTGTGCAAATCACCTTTTCAATCACTAGACTAGCTTCGAACTCAGTGCATGCCTCAACCGTACCGTAAGAGAATGAATGACTGCATGTGCAACAGTGGTAGTTTAGAATTATCGTAGATTGTCCACTGCCAGTACAACTGTTAAGTGCCAACTAACTGCATAATTGTTTCTTTTTGCCCACTAGGGCCCACTACGCGTGCATAAGGTAGCACACAAACATATGTTTGAGTGCTCTGTAATAGGTGGGCCTTTAAAACACCCACCCGTTGTGAATTTCACCCATTTTGTCATTTGGCGCAATTCTACACTTCTACCATGTAATGTTGCACACGTTAAAGAGATTCCTTCTGCTTCATGAAAGAAAGAAGTGTAAACATCTGGGATAGTTTTCTTGGTTAGACACAATATTGATACTGTACTTCGGACAAAGTGCAGAACAGAAGGAGGAAGTGCAATTGAATTTAATGGCATGATTTGGCCGCAAAAGAGACACACACAAGAAAAGGAACACTCAAACGACAAGCACAGGCGGCACTTCCAACTAAAGCAGACTAGGTGCAGACCCAGACTTAAGTACGAAAATATAGACATGCGCAGTCTTCATACAGCCTTACGCTATCCAACAATCAAACAATCTTGTCTCCGAAGCATACAACGTCACCGACGGTTCGCTGATACACCTCTCACCTTTCTTTTTAATGTAATAGGCTTCCATCAGCTCACGCGCAGTTTTGTACCTGCTTCTACCCAGAATCTTAAACTCATTAAAACGTGGTACACACCCACAGGCTTTACAGTGCATAGGCAAATGCGCCAAGCCATCGTTCATTAAATTTAATTCGTGCTCCCTAACTCGTTCATTGATGCAGCGCCCGGTAATCCCGATGTACGAGTTGCCACACGAAAAGGGAATCTCATAAACAACGCCTTTTGCACATCTCCCGTACATCGTGGCGTGTTTTTTGCCGCACCCTTGACGGCTCGCCTCCACCTCCCGAGCAGTTCTCGGGCACAGCTGAGCCAGCTTTATGGGCGCAGAGAAGGCGACAGGTACCCCATACCGGCCTGCTACCTTTTTCAGGTTGTGGGAGACCTTATGAACATAAGGAATCACTGCAGGTCTTACGGTTTCGGTTCTTTGTTCCCCCGTGGCAGCTCTAGTACCATCACCCTTAGCTTTCCGCAAAAGCGCTTCGGAGACAGCTGTCAATAGCGAGTCAGGGAAATTCGCAGCTAAAAGACGCTGGATCTGGTTTCCGAATGATGCCTGCGTCATGTGCGTGCACGATTTCTCGAGAGTAGATCCCAGGCAGAGCGTAGCTATACCACGCTTAACTATTTTCGATTGGCAAGAGTCATACGGCATTACACCTTTCTTGGCGCGAGGAAAATATTGCCAACACGTTTGCCCGTCATGGAAAGTTAAGCGGAGATCTAAAAATTGCAGGGTGTTACTTTGCGGCAGTTCTTGTGTAAAAACGAGTCCTTTTCCGTGAAGCCTAAAAATATTTAAAATGTCATCGCAGCGCGTCAAGGAGCCTTGTCTGTTAAAAAGAATTAAAAAGTCATCCATATACCTAAAAACTTTGGCAACGTTCAAGGCGCTATGCAGATTAAAAGCTTCATCGAGCGACCGGTCAATACTAGATAAAAATATGTTGCACAGCAACGGAGCAATACAGGATCCAATGCAAATGCCGCGTTTCTGCAGAAAAAGCTGCTTGTCGAAAGATATAAAAGTGCTACGTAGGTAGGCTTCTAACAGAGTTAAAAAGTCGTCTATCGTTACACCAGCCGCATTTTGAAAGGGTATGGCGCCACTTTCTTCTATGCAGGATCTCACCGCAAAGAAGAGTTCATCATGTGGAATTGAATAAAAAAGATCTTCCACATCTACTGAGAAGCCATTGTTGAGCGAGTGCTCATTATCTCTCAAGAACTGCACTATGTCTTTTGAACTGCTAGTGAAGAAGGGGTCCTTAATCTTAACGCACTTCAGCACCTTCTGTAAGTGCTTACTAAGTAAAAGCTGCCATGTGTCCCGTTCACTCACTATACTTCCAGTACCCTTTAGAAGTATAGTGAGTGAACGGGACACATGGCAGCTTTTACTTAGTAAGCACTTACAGAAGGTGCTGAAGTGCGTTAAGATTAAGGACCCCTTCTTCACTAGCAGTTCAAAAGACATAGTGCAGTTCTTGAGAGATAATGAGCACTCGCTCAACAATGGCTTCTCAGTAGATGTGGAAGATCTTTTTTATTCAATTCCACATGATGAACTCTTCTTTGCGGTGAGATCCTGCATAGAAGAAAGTGGCGCCATACCCTTTCAAAATGCGGCTGGTGTAACGATAGACGACTTTTTAACTCTGTTAGAAGCCTACCTACGTAGCACTTTTATATCTTTCGACAAGCAGCTTTTTCTGCAGAAACGCGGCATTTGCATTGGATCCTGTATTGCTCCGTTGCTGTGCAACATATTTTTATCTAGTATTGACCGGTCGCTCGATGAAGCTTTTAATCTGCATAGCGCCTTGAACGTTGCCAAAGTTTTTAGGTATATGGATGACTTTTTAATTCTTTTTAACAGACAAGGCTCCTTGACGCGCTGCGATGACATTTTAAATATTTTTAGGCTTCACGGAAAAGGACTCGTTTTTACACAAGAACTGCCGCAAAGTAACACCCTGCAATTTTTAGATCTCCGCTTAACTTTCCATGACGGGCAAACGTGTTGGCAATATTTTCCTCGCGCCAAGAAAGGTGTAATGCCGTATGACTCTTGCCAATCGAAAATAGTTAAGCGTGGTATAGC